AAGCACTTGGTGAAGTGGCTCCCTGGTGAGCTGTGAGCACTGTGGCCAACTGCAGCACTGGACACGGGCCTCCCCTACTTTTCGTGGCGAGGGTCTTGTCATGGGGCACAGTGCTTAGCAGAGGCCCAGATATCATTGGACCCTGATGGCATTCCTCCAGTCAGGCCATGGGTAAGCACCGGTTAGTGGGGGTGCATGGCAGGTAGGGATGTTTCTAGAAGGCTTTCTAAAGGTGAAGCCAGTGACTTCAGATAGCACCTTCTGGGGCAAAGCATTAGGAGGACTTTTAGTATCAGCTTGTTGACAGATACTTGGGAGCCAGTGACACTTCCTCCACCTGCCACACCCAAGCTGAGGGCTAGGGCCGCTTGCTGTAAGGCAATTCCCCCGCTCGGACCCCACATGGCCCACAGCGTGCAGGCTGCCCTGCTGGCCAGTGTCCTGTCTGTGTAGGAGAGGCAGGACAGGAGAACATGGGGTGGACCCGTGTACCCTGCTCTCCCAGCCTTTCTGACACTGCTCACAGACCCACCCTGCTCTGCGGGCACCCTGGCACTTGCCTGTTCTTACTGGGTTCTGGAAACCCAATCCCCGGCCCCGGCCCTCAGCCCTGAGGGTTGGGAGGCATCCTGCCAGTCTTGGGTTGCTTCAGTATCCACTCTTGCCTCCTTTGCTCTGTCCTTATTCAACACAAATGAAGACACTCATCACAGCAATCCCCAAGCTTTCTGTAAAACCCACACCAGACATTGGAGGCCTCAACCTGAGGAACGATGGCACATGCAGGACAGAAGACCATCTGCTTGGGGGGCCAGGCACTGATACCACCACTCCACACAGGGGCCATTCTGGGTTCCTGCAATGGGCCTCCTGGGCCCGGCTCACCCACTCTCTGCCTGCTCCTCCAGGCTAATCAGAAATGCCCGGTCAGAGGTGTGTGTGGCAGCAAAAGTGCCTCCAATCTAATGGGAAGCCATCTTCAGAAAACAACGCTGACTCTAATGCCCACGGTTGTCAGCATTTCGTTAGTCAAGCCTTCCTGGTGGTATTGGCATTTCGAAAGGAGAGCTTGGATGTCAGTCCTCATCTGGCCACTTTTTAGCTCTGTGACTAGGTAATGCTCAAGCTCTCTAGCATTTGGGTTCTTCATCTAAAAATGGGGGTAACATTAAAATGTCTCTCACAAGTCTGGATGCCAGCTCCCACCACACACCAGTGCTCAGTGACGGCTGACCTGAATGGGGCTGGGTGTTTTGCTATCAAGATGAAAGGTCTCTGGGATGAGGGGCTTCCGGGACACACACACTGGCATCCAGGAAGGCTGCAGGCAGACTGGCTCTGACGCAGCACCGTGCCACCAAACAGGGTGCCGTCTAGCACTGCTCACCCCTTCCAGGGAGTTTCTTTCATGTTAATCTTGAGAAGAAGTTGCCCACATGTGTGGGTTGCCTCCTCCAGGACTTCCCCAAGGTATTCCAGAGAACCGGGATCAAACTGGACTTAGCTAGGCCTGCCTGCCATGTGACCACCTTGCCCGCCTGCTCAGCTCACTGGTTCAATACTTCAGCCTCCTACTTGTTAAACACAGCCCCTTACCCACACCTGCTCCATGGGCACCTGAGGAAGACAGGTAGTGATAGCAGGCAGACGGCTGGGATGCAGCTCATTTTCGGAGTGATGAAAGCCACCACCAAGTCAAGCAATGCTCCTCCTCATGCCTCACCTCTCCCTCAGCCGCCACATCAGTGCAGCTCAACACAGACCAAGCAGAATCAGAACATCTGACCTGCACATGACAAGCCTCTCTAGGGACTCCTGTTCTGAGGAAGTTCTGTGCCACTTGGGCCTCTGGTCGCGAAGGGCACACCCTTTGCAAAGCAGAAGGTGACATTTCTTTAGTACAAATGTAGAGGTCTTTTTGATTTTTATTTTCCAAAAAGGCTCCCCACCAGGGCCTTGGGGAAACCCAGAGCAGAGCAGCAAAAGGCAAACCTGCTCACCAGAAAGTATGGTTCCTGTTTGTGCCATTTCTGGCCACTTCTGGGGGTGGGTGCATGAGGCTAAGGGGAAGACAATAGACGTACGTAGACCTCAAGGGAAGAGGGGCCAACACCATGCAGATTGTGATGCTCCATTCGTGCATGCTGCTGGGTACGTGTGTGTCCTGGAGGACTGAGCAGCTAAGTGGGAAGGCCGCTGTACGCTCATGTGACCTCCTTGGGTCAAGCTATGCAAATGAGCAAATGGTGGGATTGGCATTGTTTCCAAAAGCTCTCTCAATCTACATTATTCCTAGAAGGGGCTGTTGGCTCAAAAAACCAACGCCTTCCCAACTCCCACCTAGTTTTCTTAAACAGGCCTTTGTACAAAAATCCCACACAAAAAGTTTTTTCTACCTCTAAATAAACTCCACATCACACCCAATTAGAATACTGAGCGGCTGAGTACTTTCAGTCACCTGTTAAAATAGCTTTTGGCACCAACTCTAATGACCTGAACTAGAAGCTTCAGGAACTACTAACTCTTTATGATCAACAGTTTGCATAGAGGTCTGCAGCCAAAATAAACCCCATTCGCAGATGTTCAAACATGCACTGGTAATTCTCCCCTGATGGAGAGACAGACAGGGCACACTTGCAACCTTTAGTCAGATACTCAATAAGGTGGTTAAGCCTAAGGTGCAAAATGGAACACTAATTTTGATACTAGCTAAAATAATTATGCTCTGTTGTTACAGGCACAGGTCTCTAGCGGGAGGGAAACGAGAGCGAAGTGCCAAGATAGCGCTGCATAATGAAACACAGTCAGGGTGTTACATGACTCCCCGAGCCTGGGCCGAGGAGCCCCTGCTAGATCCCAAGGGATGGAGGTGCTCAAGCCTCCCACAAGTCGAAGGCAGTTTTTCTTTTTTTCTCAGTTTCTCCCCTTTCTCTGGCAATACAAGGAAAGGGAAGAGGAACTTCCCTCTGAAGTCTTGGTGGTTTCTTGTTAAGTACATGTATAAATACAGCATGTTGAAAGCACATTCTTAATAAAATTATTAATAACTCAGAGTCAGGATGGGAGGAGCTGTCTAGTGGATCACAGGGCTTGACAGTGTGTTCCCCATTTCTATGGTGAGAGGCGGGTTTACAGACCAACTCATGTTGTGCAACACAAGCTCTGCCTTTTCCCTGGGTGCCCAGGTACCTGAGCTCAACATGTCCTTTGAGTTGCAGACAAGACCCCCTGAAGGTTAAGAATTTCTCTAAAACACAACTCAAAAAAATAAAACACAGCTGTGTGCATGCGTGTACACACACACACACACACACGATTATTAGAATTTATAGGCTCTCACTAGAGTTCATAAGCTGTCTCTGCCTGAGTGATGTGAGCAGTTCCAGATGCTGAAAGTGGGGTTCCTTGTTGAGACAAAAACTAAAAAGAACCAGAACCCAATACATTAAAGAAGCCACTAGTGGAAAACCATGCTCATGGAAAAGCAAAAATGCTATTGAGGGCTGTGAGGACACTCAAGGTTAATTAAGGTACTCTGAAAAACATGATTGAAGTCAAAGAATCACGTTGGGCAGAGAGGGTTTATCAACAGATACCTGGAGTGGAATGAGCAGAAACCTGAATGGAATGGAGGTGAATGGAGTGAGTGAGTAGAAACCTCAGTGGAGTGGAGGTGAGTGAGCAGAAACCTGGATAGAGTGGAAGTGAGTGGAGTGGAATGAGCAGAAACCTGAATGGAATGGAGGTGAATGGAGTGAGTGAGCAGAAACCTCAGTGGAGTGGAGTGAGTGAGCAGATACCTGGATGGAGTGGAGGTTAGAGCAGGTGACCCAGTTAAGTCACCTTCACTGTAGGCCATGGTTCTGAATTTCAGGCTAGAAAGGATCTGTGCAAAAGTAAATGACAGAAAAAAATAGCCTATGAAAACTTGCCTGGGCCACAACCATCTTGTTTCACAAATCAAGGCCCTGGGGCAGCAGGAGTCCACTGCTCCCCCATCTTAAGTGTGACCTAACCACTGGGCCTGACCAGGGCAGAGAAGAGGCCTCTGCCTCCAACATCTAGGCATAGTCAAGACTATCTTTAAAAAATTTTTTAAAATATGTTTTTATTGATTTCAGAGAGGGAGCGGGAGATAGAAACATCAATGATGAGAGAGAATCATTGATTGGCTGCCTCCTGCTAGCCCCTACTGGGGATCGAGCCCACAACCCAGGCATGTGCTCTTGACCAGAATGGAACCCAGGAACCTTCAGTTCACAGGCCGATTCTCTATCCACTGGGTCAAACTGGTTGCAAGCCTGCTGAGTCAGAATAAACATTTATGCCACAAACTAATCAATGCCATGTCATCTCAGCCATCAGGAGCTGCTACCAGATTAGCCCAACACAGCTCCAGCCCCCTGCCAGGAGCTTCCAGGCACTGGAAGCAGAAACTTGGGACACATGGCAAGCCGGGGCCCATGCACACCTGCCTGTAGTTCAAGCCAAACCTGTACTTGAAGTAAAAAGTTACACCCCAGCACTCCCACCCTCCAAACTGGATTTAAACAAGGACAATGTAGGAAGTCAACTTAAATTGTTCCTGGAGCCAGTTTGTGGTTTTTCACATTAGAAGCTGGGGGTGGAATCAGAACCTTCGCTCAACAGCCTGCAGCAGTGCTGGGGGGTGGGATGGGGGGGGGCAGGGGAGTGGCTGGGCCATCTGTGTGGGAGAGGCAATCATTTCAGACTGCTGGCATTCAGTTCCCACCCTGTGCAGCAGCACACAGCTCCTGTCTCTGAACTTCTTGCTTTCATGGATGATTGACTTTTCTCCCATGGAGAAATTGGTTCACATTTCCTAGTGTCTGCTGTACTTCCCCCGGAGGAAAACAGCCTCTAAAATAAAATCAGCATCTGTGCTGGAGGAGCAGGCTCCGAACCTGCTTCATGGCCCTCCCAGGCAGGAACACGCACCGCCCATGCCTTAGCTAAGGAAGGATGCTCTGAACACAAAGTTAAATGTGGCTACACTACCTTTTATTAATAAAAGTGTGTAGCTGTTGGTAAATGTCACCATGGAGAGAACATAAACCATGGGTAAGACACACCAAGAGAGATATGCCAGCTGGGAGACTGAAGCACGTGACCAGAGGCTACAGTCAGGATGGCAGCAGGACTGTCGAGACTGCTGCCCAGGCACCAAGATTGTGGTCAAAGGCATCGCCGCAGCACTGGAATTAAGGCAAAAACATGTCCTCTCGCTAAGAGTGTCCTCAGTGCTCAACATGTAACAACACGATTACACAGGTACTCCATTTAAAACAACAGACAAGTTCACAAAACAGTTCTGGACACTTAAACTCTAGGTTTTCTTTCTGGCAGCACCAGACTAAACTCGGTGGCTCTGCAGCATGTCCGACTTCAGGTGCGTTACAGTCTTCTGAGAAAGGCCCAGTACTTCAAAACGCCCGGTGTGGCTGTGGAGAAAGAACAGTGCTGGCAACAAATAGTAAGACAGCATTTCAGGACCTACAGGAATATATTTTGATGCTCATAAGTGAACATACGTTTAAGCATTCAAACTGATATCTTCAATACTTTCTAGTTAACATATTTACATTTATTTTTGGTTTAAGGAAAAGTGTACTTCATAGGCAAATTATTTCATCTGTATGTGGGAGGTCCATGGCCACGTTTCTTATTGAATACCTGGGGCCTGTACGCCCGTAGAGTTGGGAGATGTCATTGTCCCGATCCCCCAAGAGCTCACCTGTGACACCCTCTAAAAGCACGGGAAACCTCTTACTCAGGCTCCTTGTGTGGCAGCATCAGAGAAAGAGTGCAGCACCTCCTTAGGGAGAAGCCAGGGATGGGTTTCCATTCCGTGGCTCTGCGCGCTGAAGCACTGGAGCTGTACAAAGGCTGGGGCACAGAAATGCTTGCAGCACGCCGGCATGCCCGCTGGCCCACGCTGCAGCTGTAGGTGCTCTGCTGCCTGCTGGCCGTGGCCTGAATGTGGAATTTCACCCACCAGAAAGCATTACTGGAGCCCAAATAAGAAACTTTAAATAGCTCAGTGACATTGATGCTTTTCCCTTTGGCTTCAGAAAACAATCACGACCAAACATCTTTAACTATGAGGCAGAGTTGACTGGAACCACAAAAAATACCTTTTCAAAAAACATTTAATGAGGTAGCTGAGATCAAATATCAAATCCACAGCATACACAAAGGTGCTCAATAAGTGCACATTTAAAATTGTATTTTTAAATGCAAACTGCTACAATGCCTAATAAATGTTCTTTCTTCCCACTACCTAAAGGTACGAGCAAGCCTTTGGAAGGGCCCCTGGCAGAGAGAGACAGCAAGTGGTTGGGAGTCAGTGAAGCTGGAGGGAAGAGAAAGGCAGGGCATTCAGAGCATACAGCTTTGGCTGAATTGGTAGTGCTCCCCATAGAACTAAAATGCAGTGGGTGCCAGAGAAAACAAATACCACACAGAACCTGGGGACATGATGGGCTCCAAGGGGACCTGACTTGAGGCAGCAGGAAGCCCAGGCCTGGGGCAGTCATTAAGTCTAGGCAATGGTCAGAACACTGACCGCCACCACCTTCCAAGGTACCTGAAGCCATCTCAGAGGGAGTCTGGCAACGTGCTGCCCTGACATGGCCACCTGCGCTCTGGGGGCGGCTGCCTTCAGCCACTGCCTAAGTTCTCAGTGCGTGTTCACAGACAAGGGCTGCTTCTGGCTGCACAGCACTGCAGATGCTGACAGGAAAGCCCTCACTTGCGAGCGCTGGGCAAAAGGAAAGGGGGTGGTAGCAGCTGGCAGTGTGGACTGAGAGTGCTCGTCACTGTTCACACACTCACACATGCAAACAGATGCATGCAGAGACACACACACACACACACACACACACACACACACACACACACACACGTGCACACTGACCCTCAGAGGCAAGTGACACTGTGGGCAGCGAGCAGCCTCCAGACAGTGCAGAAGTTTTGGGAAGACAGAGTGGAAGGGCCTGAGACAGGGCTGGGGAGGTCCTGGATAGGAGCCTGGATCCACTTTCTTCGCCAGCCTCCCCTCCTGTCCTCCGAGGTGAGGTGGCACCCCATACACCAGGTCGCCTGGCGGAAAGGCAGGCACCAGGTCGCAGTGTTAGGTCTCCGTAGGGTACTTGCTGTAGGCCAGAGGAGGCAGGGCCTGAAAGCTGCTCTCCCTCCAGGCGCTGGGCGGGGCCTCCGTGCGCCCCTGCTCTTTATATTTACCCAGAATGTTCCTGGCTTCTTCTGCATCCCTCAAAGGGCTCTCTCCATACTCCTCCTTCAGCCACTGCCGGTACTGAAGGAGTTGAAAAGAAAAGCAAACGTCACACACACACCGGCATGCATGTAAGACTTTTACGTGTTACATACAAACTGGCAAATACATGGGCATGGGCAGTCACAGCTCTGTGGTTGGCCAGGCAGTGTCAAAGAAGAGAAATTACTGCTTCTTCAGGTTTTGGCTTGAGGACATGAATGTCAGCCAAACCCAGAAAACAGTACTTGACCCCCAGGGAGAGAAATGAAGCACACGGGGCCCAAGGAAGATGGTAAAGGGTGATATCCTGTGGCTGTGGCTAGTGAACAAGGGACCAGGGAGGACTTCATGTGGGGTTCAGGTAAGGTGTCCTTGGACCAGATGTCCTCTGTGGGCCTCTCCAACTTCAACCTCCATGCTTCCAGGGGTGTGTGGAAAGACAGGCACCTTCCCAGGGTGTGCTGCGTACCTCCCGAGTCCCTGGAGCACAGTTACCTCATGGACTTCATGCTTCTCAAATTCCTGGAGCTGTCTCTGGAAGCCCAGGTTGGGGTTGGCACAGGACCTGCCTGCACGCACAGTGTGCAGGGCATCTTCCCAGCCAAAGTCAGTGACGGTCATGATGTACGCGATCACCAGAGTCACACTCCTGGAGACACCGGCCAGGCTGTGGGGCCAAGAGAATGGCCCATGGGCAAGGAAGGTTTAGGGTCTGCAGTCTACCTTCTGATCCATTTGGAGCAAGTACTCTATGGATCTGATTCTAGAGTCTTCCTGCCTTGGATTGCGAGTGGACAGCAAGCCAATATGCTACCTGGAAATCCCTCAACCATGGACACAACCAGGCAGAGGACCTGAGAGCACACACACACGTGCTCTGAAATTCAGCCATGGTGTATGCTCTGCGGGCAGTAAGGGTTACGTGTCTTTAGCAGGCTGAGTAGGGGACCTATTGTAAATGCATATGCAAAGTAAGGTGGTCAAGGAAAGGCTGTGCTGCGTCAGATTTGGAGTGTTCTAGTAACGGTTTCTGATGGGGAAGTTTAGCACATTTCTCATTTTGAGAAAAGCCTATATTCAGATTTGCACAGCTGTATGAAATACAAATTCCTAGACTATGAGACCTACAGATAGTTAAATATAAATAATATTATCAATATGGTAATAACACTAATAAACCACTTTGATGTGATGTCTCTTCCGTAAGGCTTTATCTCAGAAATAATGAAAGCTTTTAAAAAATACATCTTCTCGCCCTAACCAGTTTGGCTCAGTGGATAGAGTGTCGGCCTGTGGACTGAAGGGTCCCAGGTTCAATTCCAGTCAAGGGCATGTGCCTTGGTTGCGGGCACATCCCCAGTGGGGAGTGTGCAGGAGGCAGCTGATCGATGTTTCTCTCTCATTGATGTTTCTAGCTCTCTATTCCTCCCCCTTCCTCTCTGTAAAAAAATCAATAAAATAAAATATATATATTTTAAAAAATACATCTTCTTGAGCTGCAACCTGGAACCCTAGAAGTCCAGGTAGAGAAAGGAGTTCAAAACTGCCCTTTAAATGGCTCCAACTGCACTCCCTAAGTGACACACACACACACACACACACACACACACACACACACAAATATATATATTTAGAGAGGAAGGGAGAGGGAGAGAGAGGTAGAAATATCAATGATGAGAGAGAATCATTGATTGGCTGCCTCCTATACACCCCCTACTGGGTGGGGATCAAGCCTGCAACCCAGTCATGTGCCCTTGACAGGAATAAAACCTGGGACCCTTCAGTCTGTAGGCTGACGCTTTATCCACTGAGCCAAACCAGCTATGGCCCCAAAGAGCTTTAATGAAAAGGCAAACAATGCTACAAAACCCACCATTTGTATTTATAACATGTCCTACTCTTTTTAAAAGTAAAATAAATAAGCACTCTATTTCAAGAACTTTATACAACTGCAGAACACCCTTTTTAAGCAATCAAACTATCTATGTTTCTGCTACCCCATGACAGGTCCCTGGCCCTTAGGACAAATGACAGTTCTCATGAATGACCCCTGTGGACACTGTGCACTGGACCCCCTCTGCCACCAGGGCTGCCCCCCACTTCGGCAGTGGCACGCCCAGTGGCGCCAGTGTATTTCCAGAGAGCTTCACTGCAATAGGGACTCGAGCTGCTGGCCAACATCGAGCCTCATTCAAGGCAGAGAGGCAGGTACTCAGCCTGCACTCTGACATTGAGCATGGCTCCAGACTTTGGCTGCTGGCTCCCATACAGGTTAGTGATGCTGCCAGAGGAAGACAGAAGAATGAGGGAGTGAAGTGAGAGCCGACACTCGGAGAGCTCACTCTGCGCCAGGCTCCGTGTGCTGTCCTTCAGCTCCACCTGTCCCAGTCCCTTCCTCTGCAGTGCATGTATACATGCATGTACATGTATGTGTATCTACATCCACACCCAGAGGACAGCCGAATCGAGGGGCACAGATGTATGTAACTGCTTAATTCTAAGTCTATTCAGATCCTTTCAAAGCCAAACACACACAAAGTCCCAATCTAGATGGAGAGAGAGCCGCCACTCTGGTGCTACGGTGACGCAGTACTACAGTGATGCGGTGCTACCACCACACATGCAATCACAGCTCTGCGGAAGGAACTGTGCTCTCAAAGACCCTGAGGGTTCAGGAACAAACCTACAGTCTGTGCCCTCCAGGGAGGCTGCTCTGACAGAATGGCAGAGGTTGGCCACAAAGGCTCTGCTGTCCAGGGGCCTGACAGTCCCTACAGAAGTCCTACCTGTGAAGATGAAAAACCTGTTTTAGGGTTCTCTCTCAACGAAGGCCAACGGTGTTGAACAAAGAGGAGACTCAAGTGGGGTGTGTGTCTGAGGTTTCGAGGGAGGAAAAAAACCATTAGGAGATGAAATAATTAACTGCACACAGGGAAGCCCTGAGAATCGACCAAGCTGAACGGCTTTCAGGCAAGAGGCATACATACCAGTGGACAAGACAGCCCTCTCCCCGGAGCCGGCACTCGTGAATGAATTTAATACTTTCTTTGAAATGTCTTGTCCTGAGGGGAGAAAAAGAGAGAAGTGACATTCATTTACTCAACACATGGTAAAAAGTCCACCTGAGGTTTGTTAGAAGGTCTCGGCCACTCAGCTTCCCAGCCACACTGTTGGGCAGAGCTGCCTGCGTGTCAGCGCCCATCACACGCCCCGAGGCCTGGGGAGCTGAGGCCTGGGAGCTGCCCACATCTGGGCTGCTTGGAATTTGTCTACTGCCACTGACTGGTGGTCATGGTGGGTGGCTTCTGCCCAGCCCACGGTCAGTCTGGCCCCGATGCTCGGCAGCACACCGGCAACCCTACAGCCACTTTGGTGAGGAAGGTGCCCACGTTATGCAGGCTCCCTAAGTCCGAAAAGCTAGTTTACTTCTGACACTCTGAACAACCAGTAAGTCTTCCACACCGGCCTCCTCCTGTCCTGTCTGTGTGACAGGAGAGCTCTGTGGAAAATGACAACTGCAGCTCCAACGCCTACCCACTCAGTAGCTTAGTGGCTGTGTGGCCTCAGGAAAGCCCCGTGGCTCCCCTTAACCTCTGCTGTAGTGGGAATAATGTTTTACATGCCAACATGCTCCATGGATTCTGAAGTTCTCTAGGACAATAATCCACGACCCTCACTTCTGACTCTCAGCTTTGCTGCCATGTGTCTAGTCAGAATGGGAAATCCAGGTGCGATGCGATGATCGCCACAGGCACTGACTGCAGAGAAGTTCTGTAGTGTTAAGTTCAGGTGCCTAGCTGTTCTGGGACAGGCATAAATCTGCAAAGTGACTCAGGGCATTGCAACTCTACTCCCAAAGACTGGCTTGGTGTAAAGTGGGCAAGAAAAGATTCCTGATGGGAACCTGACATCTGAGTGTTAGTGCTGAGAGTCCTCAGAGCGGGGTTGGAGCCATGAAACTGTGTGGAGGGGTGTAAGCACGGGGTGAGCCCAGCCCGAAGGCCAGGTGCTGCAAGCAGGTGAGGGTTCGGTGCTCAGTCTCCCATTTCTCAAACCCAGCAATGGGGAGCATGCAGGAAAACCCTCTGGCTCTGCAGGTGGCGGAGCATGTTCGGCTGCACTGACTTCACTGGGGCAGCAGCAAGCTCAGTCTTCAGAATCCCCTATTCTCTTCAGTTCTGGCCTGAGAAGTGAAGGGAAAGCTTGTGGTGGGGATTTCTGGGAAAGTTTTCCTTCTGATGAAAGGAAAGCTATCTCTGCCCTAGGCTTCCTGCCAGGGCACTGGAAGTGAGCACTCTGCCTAGAACTGCATCAGATGCCTGGGACCACAGGTGACAGGCCTCGAGTGGAAGGGTAGCAGGATGGATAGGGGACATCAAGGTGTTGCTGCCTAGGCCTGGGAGCATTCATTTTCAGACTTCTGGGTCAAGGAGTTAAGTAATAAATGTCTTTATAACTTAAAACACTGTCAATCAGATATTCTATTACCTACAATCAATACAATCTTCCTGATATCAGCAACTAATTCAACAGTTTTAAACACATGGAGCCAACTCTTCTGGCTTAGGAGTGGCTATAGGCTGCTGTCTGCAATTGGCTTCGTGGTTTACACAGTGTGACCTGTCCTCCTCTGGAGGCCACTGCATAGGGGAGACGGGACAGGGGTAAGTGGGTCTGACTGTATATCCGAGCCGGACAGCCGGCCCAGAAGCCAGGCCCACCCCTGACTAGAGGCTAGTGGCCAAGGGTGCAGCTAGAGTGTGCATGCCTTTGTCACCAGGCCAGCCACACTAGGACATCCAGGGGATCTGGAAAAGCCTCCCAGGCCACAGCCTGTGGTACAGCCTATCCTTCGTGGAAGAGCTGCATCCGGGATAAGATAGCAGGGAAGAAGAAGGCAACCAAAAAGAGAAGAGCACACCTAGGAATAAATGACAACTGCCTTAGTGCATAAACCACAGACTGCCTGGGAGCACTGCAAAAGCATCCAGTGACACAGGAGCTAACAGTGCTCCACCAGGCGGGCAAGCCTTGCTGTCTGGGGACAGGGTGGGTGCTGTGGCAATCACCAAGATCTTGCAAAGATGACACACGAATCCTTTTGCTGAAATTTCGGAGTGGGAACATCTTACGTCCAGTTTTTATACTTGCACATCCCAAACTATGTGCACAATGGAACCTAGGTCTTAAGCACTGTGGAGTGTATCTGGGTTCAAGAGCAGCCTTGTCACATCTCAGAATAAGAGGTGGGGGGTGTGGGTGTGGTCAGGAGGGCAAATCTAAGCTTGCCATGGCCTAGAGACAGTGTGTAAAGGAACTGAGGGGCTGAGGACGGGCCCTCACTCTGCCCCCACCAGAACCTTACTCCTCCAGCTCTAACTGCATCCAGTGCAAGTGCAAACGAGCCCATGAGGGCTCCTGTGCACCCTGCAGAGCCCACAGTGCCTGGCCCAGGGGCGCAACGATGCCAACAAAGTGCCTGCTCAGAGCCCTGCCAGGAAACTTGACTCATGACACTTTAGGCATGAGGCCAAGCCAGGCAGTATTCCTAGAAATGCCTTTTCCAAGAAAAGCCAGGAGGCAGGCGTGCTCACTACTGCTTTGGTGTGTTGCAGGGAGTGGGGGGTTATTTCCAGGGAAGCTAATGACATAAGCCCAAGCCCTGGCCATTAAACACCCTCCTCCACAGTGGGAAATACCCACGACTCTGGTTCTGATATTGCTCCACCCTCTGACTGAAGCAGAAGCATAGCCTGAGGCACCATCGCACCACAAACTGCTTCCATAAACACAGGTTCCCTATTCCTGCTCCTCATTAGGTATTTGCTTCCACACATTCTGTACTAAGCAAGCCAGCCTGCTGGTTCAGAAGGAAAGCACAGCTTGCAAGTGTTCCAAAAATGCCTCTGCCACTGACACTCAGAGGGAACCCCTGGGCCACGTGTGTTCCACACTTACCCAATAATGCGGCTGCTGCTGACACCCAGAGGGAACCCCTGGGCCACGTGTGTTCCACACTCACCCAATAATGCTGCTGCTGCTGACACTAAGAGGGAACACATGGACCATATGTTCCACATTCTCCCAATAATGCTGCTGCTGCCGACATCCAGAGGGAACACTTGGGGCCATGTGTCCTCCACACTCACCCAATAATGCTGCTGCTGCTGGTGACCACCCAGAGGGAACCCACTAGGCAGGCAGAGGGCACTTCAGCAGAGATATCCTTCATGGGGCTCAGCAAAGAGCCCCACAGCTGTATTGCCCAGGTGCCCTTCCTCTTCTTCCTCCTCGGTCTGTGCTAGCCTCCTTGTGGACCAGTACATCCCCAACCCCTCCTTCTCCATCCAGAGACAAGAACCAGGGCCAGCCATGCTTTCCTGACCTCCAGAGAGCAGCCAAGCAACACCATATGGTGTTCATCTTTGTACTCCAAGACTACAAGTCTTGGTCGCTGCGATCCCCCTGTGGGCATGAAGAGTCCTGTCCTGTGAGGACTCTGCCTCCGTAAGCTGAAGCCCAGAAATGGTCCAGCACCCTGATGGCAGCTGGGCTTACTCACTGCAGCCATACAGACAGCAAAGCCACGAATTTTTGTGCACCAGGCCACTAGTATATAATTTATTTTTGCTAATAGCTATTCTTTGTGGTTTTGATTTGCATTTCCCTAATAATTAGTGATGTTGAATATCCTATATAATAAAAGACTAATATGCAAATTGTCCCCTCTACTGGAAGTTCCGACTGGGAGTTTGACCAGGGGGTGGGGCCAGCCCACCAACTGCCCTTGGCCCCTCCCCCTGGCTGGCCCCGCCCCTGATTGCCCCCCAGACACCACCTGAATTCATGCACTGGGCCTCTAGTGTTTTCATATGTCTTTTAGTCATTTGTATTTCCTCTTTGAAAAGATGTCTATTCAGATCCTGTGCCCATTTTTCAATCAGATTGGTTGTACCTTACTTTTCATTCTGGCAAATAAGGTTATTTTATTTTTATATTATTATTTTTTAAATATATTCTTATTGATTTCAGAGAGGAAGGGAAAGGGAGAGAGAGAGATAGAAACATTAATGATGAAAGAGAATCATTAGTCATTTGCCTCCTGCATGCCCCACACTGGGGATTGAGCCTGCAACCTGGGCATGTGCCCTGGTGGGGAATTGAACCATGATCTCCTGGTTCTTAGGTTGACACTCAATCAACTGAGCCACACTGGCTGGGAAAATAAAAGCAATCTAAAAAAAACCAACACACCCAAGAAAAAAACAAAACCCCTCTTTACCATCTAGTACAAAATAATTTCACAAAGAATAGTTCAACACTACAAACACTAGAAAGACATAGTCTAAGACTAAAAAATAGTTCAAGTTAAAGCCTTATGAAAAATGCAAAACACACTTTCCACATATTTCTCTTTCCTATAGACTGCAATGTCCTTAGGAGCCGTGTGTGAGCACGTGTGTGTAAGTTCTCATGTGTGTATGCATCTGTTTGGAAGGGCCATCAAGGGCCACCTAGCTCTGATCTTGCAAAATTGTTTTTTAAATAATGAAAATAAAGAAAAATGTAAATAGGAGAGAGTACAGAGGACATCAGCTACACTACATAAAAATACACAAAAAGACAGGGAGGTAGAATGAGGCAAGAAAGTTTTATTGAATTGTTAAATATCAGCTCTCTGTACTCTAATGCCTCTTCTCTTCAGGAGAACCTCAAGCAGTTTAGAGATCTGTTTGATTCCCCAACCCTGGGATGTCATGAAGGCTTTACGATAATGAGACAATGTTGCCAACTCCCCAGCACAGACCAAGCCTCCTGCATTTGACCCAAGGAGAAGATGAAAAATAAGAGTTATACCCTTAATGATGTCTACATATAAAATGCCAACTTAATAAACATTAAAATAAGAATGAACAAAATAAGCTGCTACACACCTAACCACTCACTTTCAAAGTACATTATCACTCCTTACTTGAATACACAGAAATTAAAATCTTATCTTTGCAGATGCTTAGTGTTCATAAACACTTTTACTTATCTCACCTAATACTATAAAAATTGTGTGAGATAGTTATTTTACAGTGAGAGAAGTAAGGTTAAAACAGCTTCCCTAGGAAAGCACAGAGAGAAAGCAAAGGCAAATATTTCCAAAACCTTAATTCACCAACCCATTTCCATCAGCCGCTTGGAGAACATGCAGCTGTGCAGTTGATACAAACTCCAGGATGTCCCTAATTGTAACAAGTCAAGCAAAGTGGGCAGCCTGGATCTGGGGGGTTATCGCCACTATGAGAATCTGAATTTTCATGTGCCTTGACTTTGCAAGGCAAAGTGGTTGGGGAAACAGCTAAAATCTTAATGCAGTGGTTCTCAACCTTCCTAATGCCGCGACCCTTTAATACAGTTCCTCATGTTGTGGTGACCCCCAACCATAAAATTATTTTTGTTGCTACTTCATAACTGTAATTTTGCTACTGTTATGAATCGTAATGTAAATATCTGATATGCAGGATGTATTTAGGCGTCCCTTGTGAAAGGGTCATTTGACCCCCAAAAGGGGTCGCGACCCACAGGTTGAGAACCACTGTCTTAATGTGTTAATGTTATCTCAAACCAGGTTTCTGCATATCAAGTTCCTGGAAGATCAGATGGGGAGTTAGTGAGTACTGAGGCCAAGATAGAGAATTGACCTTTCTGGGCAGCGGGTTTGCAGCAACTGAATACCAAGTGACAGCAATGTTTCAAAGATCAAAATTAGCAGAAGAATTCCTGTGGATATAGAAATCTGTGGGTAAAGATTTAGGAAATAAAACCTTAGGTTATATTCAAAGCTGGAAATAATTTTTAAAATACATAAGTTTAAAACAATAAGCAATACAGTTTTCTAGAATTTATTTTGTCATTAAATATGGGGACTCTCACCCTGGCTGGTGTGGCTCAGTTAGTTGAGCATCGTTCCATGCACCCAAAGTCACCTATTCAATTTCTGGTGAGGGCACCAGGTTGCAGGTTCGATCCCCAGTCGGGTCATGTACAGGAGGCAGCCAAAGAATGTTTCTCTTTCACATTGATGATTCTTTCTCTCCCCCGCTCCCTTTCCCTAAAATCAATTAAAAATATTTAAAAACCTTACCAGTCTTGGTTATTAGGCATTATTATTATTATTATTATTATTATTATATCCTTTATAGAAAGGAAAAGAATATAGGAACTCTCAGGCATCATAAATTACAAGTGACCGCACTAAAGAACTACCAGTTCTAATTGGGTTACCCAGAGACATGATTCCTCTCTCTTTTGTTAGCAAGAGCATTAAGATTATTTATCTTCTGACCACCCACAATGGTTGATCATACAGAAATGAAGGTTCACTCTAGCCTTCAAATGTTCCTAATATTTACAGGCTACACAAAATGAGATAGGTCATATAGACAGAGTCAACTGTTCCACCTGCAATAGTAAGTTTGTAGTCTGCTTATATTCTGAAAGCATGCTTCCGTTTAGAACAGCGGTCCCCAACCGGTGGTCCGTGAACCGCTGGTGGTCCATGAGGTCCAAAAGGTTGGCAACCGCTGGTTTAGAAGGCATGCGATGCTTTCCAATAAAACATCTGTAACAGGTAAAGAGAAAAGCTATTTCATAGGTTGTCTTAACATACAAGGCATGCTCAAAGTTCAGCTTAACTCCATATTCTCCATTTAATTTTAGTAGAGCAAGAAAAACTTATAGAATCATGCCCAAAACCTTAGTATGCATAAGCGTTGCTATTACAAAGGATTTAAAAATAAATTTCCCTAAAGAACCACACAAATGCCTATATGCCTAACGCCCAGCAGCAGAGTGCCAGTTTTTCTGCCTTTTGGTGAACTATGGTCTGGCCTTAGTTTTTCAATTGCAATAGAGGTTGTGCTCTGCTAAGACTTCACTCCAACAGCAGCAATGTGCATTCTCTGCACAGTTCTATCATTAGCCCCAAACATGGATGCTGCAATAACTCCCAACTGCAAACTCCTCTCCTACACTACGCTTTCATCTAAATACAAGGAGTGGTTAAAGAGGCAAACCACACATATTGTAACAACATCGTTGCACATATTTGGCACAGATAAGAACTAACTCAAATCTTACAGGTTAGTCCTCTGGCTCCACGATGATGGTGATTGGGCTGATTTTGCCAGAAGCAGCTGCATCCCCCTCCTGTCACCTGACCTTTCCACAAGCACACCTTCCAAGGAAATGAAGCAGGCCGCCTGAACACTGAAACTTATTTTCAACTACTTTTTCTGTAATTCCCAAGACACAGTAATATCCTCTTATTTTCAAAAGTGCTTAGAGTTCATAGAAAACACTGTCACATATATGATCTCACCTCCAAAATCCTAAAGGCAGGCTTTTTTCAGATGAAAGAACTGACTTGCCCAAGGTATTTGAAACTTGTTTTAAAGTTGAGATCTCCAATTTTGGGTCTACTGCTCACTTGTCCACATAGCACAGGACACTCATGTACACTCACTGCTGCTCATACGTGGAAAGTCAGGGTCCTGTCCTGGCAAGCCCAGAGATTCACTCGTAACTGCGCTGAGAACCCTGAGGGGCAGCGCAAAGTACACGTGGTCATGTATCCTAACAGCAAATGCCCAGATGTGCTACAGTTTGATTCTTCTGAAGAGTCAGAGAGCCAATTAGGTATTGACAAATTCAAGAGTATGTCAGAATCTCAGTTTGAGATAAGAGCAAAGCAACCATTCTAAAAATAGCCACCAAAATACAGGCAGAAGATTGCTGTGGGCTCAGAGAAAGGCAGTGGCTCACTTCCTTCCGTACATACCATGCCCTCCCAACCACTTCTGTTTCTTGGCACAACTCATAACCAAGGAAGTTCTCTAAAGCATCTTCCCCTCCCTCCAGACCTAAGCTACTACTGTTTTCCTAGTGATCTTAGTAAAATCCTTTCTCCACCAATCTTAAAGATTGACTTTTCCTAGGAAATGTGGAGAGTCACTTTGAAAACATGAGCCCTGGGTAGAATGTATTTGCCCCCACTTCCATCTACCCCTGCCCTTTCCTGATCTACCACCTGTGCCCTGACCTACCTCTCTCATCCTTCTCCATATCAATCTGTCTGCATCTAGCCCCATTTTTTTTTTTCCCAAACAGGTAGACTGCACAAAATTACTGCCTAGCCTGTGATTTCTCTTCTCTGCAGCAGTGAAAAATCAAGTTTGGTTAGTGTCCCACTTTGATAGCTTTTAGAGACTAGATACTTGGGATCCTACATGTAAAATTCTGCAGTCCATACTTCTGATATGTAGGATTTGCAGGCAATAGAATGTGAGAATCACAAGGGATGTGTCCTGACAAGTCTATGGAATCCCAAATGCACAACACTACCATAGCTTTTAACTTTCCTGATGAAAAGAAGTAATATGTAATTCTAGGAGTGTTATTGTATCTGACCTCCAATAACAGCAGAAGGTCAGCCTGAGAGGCAGAGGTTGGTGTCTGTGAGTGCACTGAATGGTTAATACTTTATCACTTCTGGAAACTAAAGAGTGTGAACGTTAGAGCCATAACTGCAGTGGGTCTCCAGAGACCCGTCCTCCATTCTACCAAAGCCTACTCCTACGGGTCTCCATATAATGGCCGTTGATCTGGAAAAGATAGCAAGGACACATTTTTCTTTATAGAGACAAAACCATGTCAAAGATGTATTCAACTGTGAAGAAACAGAGGGCTGGACTTTCCTAAACCAGGAAAGTCTGTTCACTGGACTCGGGCAGACTTTACAAATACACTGTGCCACAGAGTGGCCATTAGCCACATGTGGCCGTGGAGTACTTGACATAAAGCTGATCCGAACTGCTGGCATTGTAAAGAAAGCTTGCTTGATTTTGAAGACTAATATGAAAAAAAGGATGTAAAATATCTCATTTAAAAATACTTAGCACATGGTTGAAATTGAAGTATTTTGGATATACTATTGTAAATAAAACATTACTAAAATTCTTATCACTGATTTCTTTTTACTTTTTTAATATGCCTCCCAGCAAACTCAAAATTCTAAGTGTGATTGCATTTGTGCTTACAGTCTATTTCTATTGGATGTGTTACTTTACACAAAACCCACAGCTCCTGGAAGGGTTTGCTGCTAGAGAAAGGATGAGCATGCTAATGGTTTGATCTGAGGTCCTCTTTTTAAAAACCAGACTCTTCTTACGGACTGCTCATCAGTTACTGTACAGACCACCAGCAAACCAAGCTCGCCTCTGGCTCCAGGCTGCCCCACTGGGCAGCTCACACCTGTGTGGGCCTCACCTCCTCTCTGAGACAGCAGCTGTGCAAAGCAGCAAGGGTTCGTGGCCCCAAGACTCTACTCTCCTTTACGTATTTGACGTTGCAGTCCTTTAGCCATTTTTAATATCCCCAAATAATACAGAAAAAAAACAACTTACAGGTTTTGAGATGGTGAATCCGCTGCTGGAATGCACAGGTATTTAACCCCCTGTAGAATGACAAAAAATAAAAGATAATACCCAGTATAGAAAAATATTTTAAGGAACTATTTACTAAGGTCAAAAAAATAAAAAATAAAAAGGAGAAGTTTGTCACTCATCTTTTGTTGCCAAGGAACTGGGGAAAACTCTTTAATTAAGGTTCCTGATTATTTTCCATGACTGTGTACACAAATGTTCATGCTCTGGTTTGGAAACAGCTTGTAGACAGGGGGCATCAAAAAGTGAAACAACTAGGCACTTCCCAGTAAGTGGTAAAAATTCCAGAGCCCTCACCTCACATGCTTGTTTACATGTTCCACATTTTTATCAATTTTATTTAGGATCCACTGGTAGTAAAAACCTTAACATGATATCTAAAAATTGTAACATTATGGTACGGTTTCTTTATCAAATTTAGTATGAAGAGATTTCAATTTCACTGATGTACCTACATGATAGGAGTTTCTACACAAGGGAAGTAATGTGATTTATTATGTCTCCTTTCCAGAAAAGCAAAACTTATTTACTAAGCTAACAGGTTTTTTAAAAAAATAAATGGTTTGAAAAAACAAACTTCATATAAAATTTATTAAAAGTCTATAAAAATTTTTATGTCAATTCATGCTGCATAAAAATCAGGTTAAATTTCAGTTTTATTAAATTTTAGTTGTTTCTTCATCAGAAGGACTTAAAGTATAGTTTAAAAGGTCTTCAGTGTCAAGTGAAAATACAAAGACTAGATGTCTCAGCAACCTTGGCTTCATAAAGGCTTAAATGGACCATTTTTAAGCCTCCTCTCCGGTAGCCTAAAACCTCATGGACTCTTGCCATTGTGTCATGAGAAATAAGTGTCTGGGAATAAATACATCAGTAACTGGAATAAAAACCAATGTAAGAGAGTAAATGAAGGACAAGCATGTAGGATAGACAACTATAGTTCCCTCAGCAGACAAAGTCATAAAATAACATCTTCTAGGACTTTTGAAAAGTTTGCAGTTGTTTGTTAAAATTTTACTATTAATTCCTGTCATTAGGAATATCTATGCTGTACTTGCTAATGTAGTCTTGTAAGGAACATCTAAATTTGTGGCTGGCCCAAACCCTGTCAGAGTTCCACATTTAAAAAAAAATTATCTATCTATCTATCATCTATCTATCTATCTATCTATCTATCTATCTATATCTATATTTGTATTGATTTCAGAGAGGAAGGGAGAGAGAGATAGAAACATCAATGAGGAGAGAGAATCACTGGTCGGTTGCCTCTTGCATACACACCCTCCCCCGCCAACTGGGGATCAAGCTCGCAACCTGGGCATGTGCCCCCACCAAATCAAACCATGATCTCCTGGTTCATAGTCAACACTCAACCTCTGAACCTCACTAGTTGGGCTCCACATTTTTTAAAAATCTTCACCTGAGGACATGTTTATTGATGAGAGAGAGAAAGAGAGAGAGACAGACATTGATAACATTGATTGGTTGCCTCCCTTAAAGATCCCGACTGGGGATTGAACCCAAAACCTAGGTATGGGCCCAGAACGGTAATTGAACCTGCAAACTTTTGGTACATGGCACAATGTTCCAACCAACTGAGCCAACCCAGCCAGGGAACAGCTCCACGTTTTGATGCTCCCTTACATAGTGAACCCCGCTTTCTCAATACAGAGTCCACACCAACTACTTTTTTCATCCTCCTTTGCTTTTAGGGTTCCATCATCTGACAAACCCACACCAGGCAGATTTGGAAACAGGACATGGGAAGGGTAGAATGGGTAAAGAGCACCGGCTGGGCAGGTGCAGATGGTGGCAGAGGCGGCAGCAGACCTCACTGGGCCAGTTGTATGATGTGGTCTGGGAATTATTCCGGGAATTTCAGCTGAAATCCTATTTCTCCAGCTCCTCTGAGGAGACCATAAATAAGCTCTCAACAAACCCCTTCCTGCTGACGCGGACTCAGCGTGAAACCTGTTGTCTGCCATGAAGACACAAGAGAATTCCACTTCCTATCTCCTTTTATGAGAGGCTAGAAAAAAACTCATTTCCCTACTTAGTTCTCAAACATATATTTTTTCCAGCTTTGAGTCAATCATTACATCTCCCAACAAAGGGTTTTTTGGGCCTTGAAGAAGACACGTTTTATCACTGCTTGTCCAGATGGGAGCACTTTATGTGAGATCGCACAGGCTTTAATGCACCAAGGATAAAAATTAAGGATCAGCTGCCAGAAGAAAGCGAACCAGCAGATTATTCCTCCTTCACGTCTTGCTTTGTCGTCCTCAGTTGCCCCCTCTGTCTCCATTTCCCTGGACGCAGTGCTGTGCTCTTCTGGAAGGACTGAGACAGTTGTCTGAAGTTCCAAAGCACCTCCAAAATTAGACAGCTATTGGCTCAGTGATTTAAAGGGAAAGAAAATGGGATGGATATATTATACTGTGAAAAAAAGTCATTTCACTCCTTCTGTCCATAGAAGCCAAACAAACTTGTTCGTGTAGATCACACACTGATCATTTCATACATCCACCACTGAAATGACTCACTTTTTTTTCTTAAAGTGAGAGTTGGCCATGGATCAGGCCCAGAAGCTTGTGAAATTCTTTCCTCCAGACACTTCCTCCAACCTCTTTCAGAATACTTCCAGAGAGACGAGAGGATTTTCAGGTTCCCACCTTCCCTTCCATTGTGATCATCAGTCCGAGCAACATAAATTAATCAAGGACGCTGAGATGGTTCCCCTCACAGAGAGTGAAGATGCTTGCCTGTCATACATGCTGACTGACAGCCACTTGATTCTAAAATCTAAAATCTAGAATCTGAAGTCAGCATAGTCCATATATTGGAGGAAAGAAAAAATGAAGGAAAGGAAGAAAGTGGCAAGAAGTGGAGGCTAAAAAACTCTTAGCTTATTTAGAGCATTAAATGCCAACAGCAATGTGGTTAGAAAGCACTGTGCTTCCTTTAGGCATAATGTACAAGGAAAGGAGGCCAGCCCCACAAGGCAGGAAAAGGACAAAGGGGACCCCTTCCTTCCTGAGCTATAGCAGATGAGAGGGACAAGGCAACTTTGGAGGAGGCCACTTTGGTCTGTGGTGTACCCCTCCCCTTCCTTCACTGGCTGGGATTGAGATACGGCATGTACAGCTTCCCATCTGTGAAGCTTCTAAGGAAGAACACAATAGCTCTGGCCATGAGTTTGGGGATCCCATACTGTTAAGGCAGGACAGAGAAAATATAAAACATAAGGTAGGATCTCTCAAAGATACAACACTAACCTTCCCTGGAATGGTGCCTGACACATAGTAGGTAGGCACTCACTAAATGTCTGTTGATGATGAAAACAAGGCGAAAAACTACTAACATAAAGATCACACTACAAGAAGTGCAGGGGAAGGAAAACGTTGTCAGGCACCCATGCCTTATCCCTGTGAGCAAGGAAACCAGGCCGGACCTGCAGCCACGCTGCGCAAGGGCACACTGCATGACTCTGCAGACTCCGATCTCCTGCCTGCCTGCTCCCGTGGGACCTGCTAAGATGCACCTCACTGTGATCTACAATGAGAAGGGAACAACCTATGCAAATAAGTAAAGAAAGGAGTCAAAACTGTCGAAATGCTCAGCTGCTTGCCCCCAAGACCATCTATTTATCTTGGCTTAGTCATTAACAAAGCACAGAAAGTATCTCTCTTGGAGGCCACAGGCTACAGAACATCAAGTACCTGAAAAAGGCTTTGGATGCCTGCACATGTGTACAGTTCATAGCCGTTAATTACTAATTCAGAAAGCTGCAGGAGTGGGGCAGCACGAAGGATCACAACACCATGAGAAGTCTGGATAAACCTAAAATTATCCTAGTAGCAACAGACCTGGCTCTGCAAATGTGATATGGAATCGATTTTCCTTTTAATTGGACCTATATAAGACCAGTCTCTAGTACTGAGGTCCATAGAGGCAGAGATAAGGGACAGGATATCCTATGTATGTCTGCAGCTAAATTATGGAAAGTATATCAAACTTAAAGTAAAACAAAAGAATATAAATATTCTAGAACAATCTGAAAAAAATCGTAAGTTCTAAAAATAGCAGCATTACCATTAGCATAGCATTTTAGGTATTTACTACTTCACATTACCTCTAATGTTTAAAAAATACATAAAGCTAAAATTGATTATCTCCTTTTTAAAAGAAAATTCTTACTAAATAAATAAAAACTCAGTACTTTCCATGATGTTTCAAAAAGTGGTTGGTGGAAAGCCAATTAATATTAAACTTTTATGGAGCTAATAAATGTCACATTACAAATTTTCAGTTCAGACAGCTGGCCCAAGACTGCACTAAAATACAGAACCTCCCCCGCCCCCCCCCCGCCCCCCAACACACACACCCTCCCAAAAACTGAGTCTATGCATTAAGACTCTCATGATTTCTATGAAGGAAAAGAAAGAGCAGCTCCTTTCTTTTGGCAATTTAAGTGGCCTGACATGTTCAGAGCATGGCCTAAGAGGGGGCTAGGGAGAGGATAAAGGCAGAGAATTCTAGAAAAGCTCTTATCTACACTGACCACACGCATAGGGAATATTCATAATACCAAGGAACATACCAACCAGCAGACATAATGTAGAAAAGATTAGGAAAACACAGGACAGTAAGAGTCACGTGAGATCTGCCCAGTAAAACTCTTGGATCAAGTTTTTGTATTGGGCTTTGAAAGAAACATTAGACATCAGTGGCTGAGAGTAGTTTTAGAAAGTATCTCAGAGGCTCTTGAACAAAAGGTTAAAGCTTTCTAAATGCACATTCTCAAAAGTCCTAATATTGTTCAGTTTTCTGTTTCAACAAGCATAGTAACCACCAAAAGTAAGTTTTGGCCTTTGGGCCTGAAACGAAAGAATACACCTAAAATGGTATGCAAGCAAAGACTTCAAAGTAGGGGAAGATTCTGATTTCAGGACTAGTAAAGAGATCAAACTCTCGCTTTTTCAAGTACAATTTCTAAAATTCACTGGTCTTT